TAGGAGGCGACCAACCCCCCCCCCCTTTCCGATTCGCACTTTTGGGGCTAGTGTGTACAAAAAATGATATAAAGTATGTGTCCGTTAGGGTGCGTACTTGTGGGAGCTCACCCCCGGGGCGGGATTTTCGCAAGGTGCACCCCTTGTATACACTTTCGCGATTTTCACATTCACATTATAGGAAAAATAAATAATCAGTTTTTAACTTTGATGTTTAAAACTAATTTCTCTTCCCCCCCCCCCCCCCCCCCCCCCCCCACCCCGCACTTTTATCCATTCACAGACGATACGGCACAAAGTGCGCAGGGTGCTCACAGGGAATTTCCCCCAGCGACCTGGTGCGCAGGGCGCGCAACAAAGTCTTTCACCTCAAGTGTTTCACGTGCGTGGTTTGCCGGAAGCAACTGTCCACCGGGGAGGAACTGTACGTCCTGGAGGAGAACAAGTTCATATGTAAAGAGGACTATATCAATAGCAAGTATGCTGGTGAGTACTGTACCGCGTCATTCTGTGTCAGTGCTGTGAGTCGCAGGTTCGATTCTTGTTCTCTGACGTTGTTTAAATCACCGTGTTCCGTCTTCAGTCTGTCTGTAAGTGTCGTATGGTTCTATGCGTCTTGCGGTGTGTCTTATAGTCCTGTCTTACCGTCGTCAGCACAATATAGACTAAGTTGACGAGTTTTAAGACCAATTTAATTTCGCGGATGTCCAGATTAAAAAAAATAATAATAATTGTTCCAATACATTTTGTTTGAAAGATTATTTTTTTTTTGGAGGGGGGGGGGTGTGGTTTAAAATAAGCTAATGTCCACGTCATAGTATATTCAATACGTCCTTTTCTTCAATCAATATTTTAAAATACTTTATCATAAAACAATATAACACTCATATAAGTTCGAGCCTGAACAAGAGGTAGCATATTTTAGAGATTAAGAGGCAGCATACTGTAGCCATTGAATCACAATCGTGATTATATTTTTTAACGAACCGTTTATTTAAAAAAAAAAAGAATAATTAAATTCCATGTTATGAATCACAATGAAACAATTCACACTAAAATATTTTATAATATATTATATCCCCCCCCCCCCAACCACAAGCATAATTCCTGTTCCTATTCTTTGTGTTAACTCTCGGGGAGTCTCCCAGTGAGAATGTTTTCACTCGACACACTCTGTTTGTTGTTTGTACAGTCGGACAATTGATTTGTTTCATTTCACAAGTGCCTCGCACTCTCTGTTGTTCTC